TCTTCTCTAGAGAAAGATTTGTTTTGCTCTGCTCCAAGCTGCACCAAGGATGTACCGCACTGAGCCATAAACATCACATTCCATTATTAATTGCTCATCTGCAGATATTCTCATGAGAAATGAAAGGAGGAGACTAAGAGAAGTTACATTTCGAGGGTGAAGTTACTGCACAAAGGACTTGAGCCTGATAGGATAATACTGTGTTGGGGAAACATGGATTTAAGATCTAGCAAGAAACTAGTTAGGATCTGTCCAGTTAACTATCTTTTCATCTATCTGTCTGTCTGCTGCTGGAGGAATGGAGGGATAGAGATGCAGGAGAAGAAGCTCAACCATGATTTCTTAGTTGGCAAATAGTTTTTAGGTACAAGTAGTTAGCTGTTATTATTTTATGGGGAATGTGTTCATGTAGCTCACTTAATTATCTGTATATGCATTGCTTATTGTTTTGGAAATGTGCAACTCTCTTTTTGAATTCTTTATGCCATTTTTAAAGTTTTAATAAACCTTTTTATATTTTTACCCAAGTGTGATCCTTTGGGGGAAAAGGGGTTTGAGTGTCTAAAAAGAAGGTGCCTTGGCCAAGAGGCTACATTCACTAAGTTTATTATTTTGGGTGGTCTACCTTTTTTGGTTGGTGTGCTAAGTACAAAGTGCACGATCAGGAGAGGTTTCTCTCTTGGGTAAGGAAACAGGTGAAAATCCAGGTCAGAAGCTTGCCCGTAGTGCTAATTCATGGACTCTCCAGGTATCACCCAGCTTGGGGTTCAAAGGGTAGAGTAACTAGAGAGGCACCTTCGCCTAGTGGAAAGCCCTCAGGGGGTTCCTTACAGGGGCCATTGCCCAGTGTCCCTGTTGTCCATTGTAATTTCTGTCAATGAGTCAGCTGATCATGATGCCATTACACTTCCTCTTTTTAATTTAAAGTGGTTTGCTGTGTTTTCCTGAAGACATTTCTGGGGGCAAGTGTTTCCATTTTTTGGTTGATGAAACTATGCATGACTGTAGATTTGTCACAGCCTTCCCAAACAGCTTTGCTAACAAGGAAACCTGCAGTGTGGGGTATCCTGAAAACCTATTCCAAAACTTTGAAAGCACGTTGCAATGCAAATCCCATGGTTTACAGTGGCTGCCTGAAGCCATGCAACAGAACAAATATTCCTAGTCAACACCCCAAAACACAACATGTCCTCTCACCAAAGTTTTGCTATTGTACAAGTGAAAAGCCCTGGATTAGGTTTGAGGGGGGATCCCAAATATGGGGCTCCTAGTTCCCAAAAGCTTTTCCAAACTTTCAGGGAAGCAAGTGGTTCTTCTGAGCATGAATGAGATTCTTTTCTGGGTTCCTACACTGAGGACCATCTCTTAAACATCTGCAAAAGTTTTGGTGGCGAGGGGGTAGACCTTGGCTCCAAATGAGCTCCTTTCAAGTCTATAACTACATGGTAAAATACTGTGGGATTTGCTGCAGGTATAAAATGGGTTATTATTAATATTATTTTTACTGATTACATGACACGAAGGCCAATTTGAATCACTGTGGCCCTTTTTGTTCCTGATGTGGAGGGTTTTCCCTCAGCCCCTGGGAGCTTCTATGTTTTTCATGCTGGAATGGTTTGAAAGGACTTTTCATCATGTGAAAACGTGTTTCATTCTGCAAAATGATGGGGTGGGGTGGGTCTGTGAGTGGTGTGATGACACAGGGAGTTGAGTTATGATGTTTAGAGACAGAAAGGACATCTTTCTCCACAATCTGTTCCCTGAGTGTCCCAGATTTTTAAAAAAGTAAATGTTTATCCCTGCATCCATTGATATACTAGTTTAGAGCTAGATCACCTTAGCACAGGCGGAAAAAATCACTCCAGAGTCCCACAACCCCAACCAGTATTTTTTCTTCTCTATTAGAGACCCTTCTCCTTTTAAAAAGTCAAATCCTTTTGCTTCCTCTAATGCAGAAAGGAAAGACCAACTGAGCACACATACACACACAGCAGTGCTTTGGCAAAGCACCCCCCCCCCAGCCTTCTGCCTCACAAGGGAGGACCAGGATAGAGTGTGCATCTACACACACAGAGTGAGTGAGCGAGAGATTTTTAACAGTTTCTCTTGGATGTTGATTTTTTAAAAACACATTAATCAGATATCCATTTAGCAAGAGAAGATGAGGAAATAGAGTCATTGAGTGCAGAAAACCTTCTTAAGATAGTTCCTTTGAACTGCACCACCTACTGGTGCTTCATGTGGAACTGCAAATAAAAGGCTTTCCCCCTCTCTTCTGCTTGTGTGGCCACTTACATCAAAGAGTACTGAATGTCCTGGCGAGACTTAACAGCAAGACAATGTGAGTTAATTTGCATTTCCCTCGCTGTGTAGTTGCATCCTAAGTTTCCCACAGTTGGCAAGTTTAGAAAATGAATTCACCATCAAGCTCAACTTTGTACAAGAGATTTGCAGAAAAGCAATATATTCTGTGCCTCTGTTGCTTGAATCCCGTGTTTTCATTCAGCAATGTGTGTTTTTTCATTTCTCATCCCTCCTGGACTACACAGGTCTGTGAAGCAAGGAAGTGGGTAAAACTTCTGAAAGGAAAAGTAAGTCTCTCCTAAAGCAACCAAAGGGATGTTGCATGAGTGGAGAATCCCAGGTTATGCTAAGGATCCCTCGTGCCCTTTGATACTGTCATCAACTATTCAGTCAATCCAAGTGGGGTGGGGAGGCCTGGAGGCAGGGCTGTAGCTCAGTAGTCAAACATATGCTTTACATACAAAAGATCCTGGGTTCAATCCTTATCATGTCCAAGTAGTACAAAGAAATTTTGCAACCTCCAAGAACCTCTGCTATTGTCGGCAAACCGGATTATATGGATTAAGGAACTGACTCAGTTTCAAACAGCTCCTTGTATTCCACTGTGTGTTTGTAAGATTCCACAGAGGTCTACAGTGAGAGGAAGCAGTGTTGTTGGCATTGTCTTGAATCCTTGAGAGAGATGCACTGAATTTTGGTGGCAAGGCTGGAGGTTGTAGAAACTTTGCTCTTCTCACATGTAAGGGATAATGCCAGCCAACACATACTGCACTGCGGGTTGCATAGATTCAGTTTGGCCCGTTGCACTTAGGACACTGCCAGTTCTGGTCTCAAGGAACAGCTGAAACTCATGTCCTTGCTACATGATGAACAATGGTTTATGGGATGGGTTGTCATACTGGGCTTTTGGCTTTGTATCCATTCAGTGGCTAGAATCCTATTAGCTGCAACCACTGATGAAACACAATTGACATAAATCTCAATGGCAAATTACTACAAATTAAGAAGTTAGTACAGACATTTGCTGTTATGCATTACTGAGATCTACATCAATTGCATTATGCCAGCATAAAAACTTCACAGGATTTTGGCCACTATACTGTATTAGGATGAAACATGAAATCCAGTTCAATTCCAAATGATATGAAAAACTCCAGTGCTTAGACGAGCCATATGCTAGTCTGTAACTTCCAGACTACTGCTTCCAGAATCTGTTGTTTGTGCTGGCTTTTGACTCCAAAAACATAACTTTACCCAAGTCCTGAAAAACGCTCACAACTACACATGATTTCCACATTTATCTATTTTGGATTATAATGGATGCATTACTGTATTTCAGAGACATAGGAGAAAAGCATATTCTGGATGCATATTTTTCTGTCTTCCGATATATGTTTAATTAAAAAGAAACTTCTCCAAGCATGTCTCTCAAGAGCTAATTAGCACATAAATTGAATTATGATAAATGCTAAAGGGAGGTGAAAGTGAGAGGAAAGAAAGGGGAAAAATGCAGGTTGTGTATAGAAAACTTGGTTTTGCTCAAATGGCGTTGTAAATTGGTTAATGAGCCTAACATGGCCAACAAATCAAACCCTGCAGTTTGCTTGCATTTTTCCCTTGAATATATGAATTCCCCACAACAGAGACTGGATTTAGAAATAATGGGCAAGTTAATGAAGGAAATAATGGATAAAAGTTATTGAAGGAAAGTCTCAGACATTCCACTTGTACAGGGGGATTGCATAGTAAATTATACCCTATTCTACAGCTTGTGGGATGTGGTGGCGCTGCAGGTTAAACCGCAGAAGCCTCTGTGCTGCAGGGTCAGAAGACCAGCAGTCGTAAGATCGAATCCATGTGATGGAGTGAGCTCCCGTCTCTTGTCCCAGCTCCTGCCAACCTAGCACTTCAAAAGCATGCAAATGCAAGTAAATAAATAGGTACCACCTGGTGGGAAGGTAACGGTGTTCCATGTCTAGTCGTGCTGGCCACGTGACCATGGAAACTGGCTTGGAAACGGAGCTGAGCACCGCACCCTAGAGTCGGACACAACTGGACTAAATGTCAATGGGAACCTTTACCTTTACCTATTCTTCAGCTCAGACTCCGTTACAACATGTCTTTGCTTCAGAATAAGCATAAAAAGTGCTTAGTATAGTGGCTTTTCTTCAGGTATAAATACAGCAGCCTCGATTTCTCCACTGTCATAGCCCTATGACACCAAAATAAATCTGAAATCCATACTTTCACATCTTTGTTAAATATCACTACTCAAAATGCTCCTCAAAATATCACAAAAGAGGGTGGATGCTTTCAAGTCCTTCCGAAGAAGGTTCTCATGTTCATTTGGAGTGGGTAACACGTGGTCAACCAACATTGGATTGCAGTGCCTATTGTCCTTCACCACTAGCTAAGCTGTGAGCTATTGATTTTTCATAACATCTAGACATCCACAGTTGTCCACCTCTAGACTAAATGATATTTTTAAAAAAATATGTGGTGAGAAAGGAATAGAAAAGCTCCCCTATCCCTTAATTAGGCCAGATGGTGTCATTGTGAAGTTTGCTGTTCAGATTCTGCCTCAAGATGGAGAATGGACTGAATGAATAGTCACTAGAAGTTTTTACAGATATTTGTTTATACCAATCATTGGGCAACAAAGAAGAAGATGGCCACCCTCCCCCTCCCCTCTCGATTTCTGGAAGCATAAAAGGAAGCTATAGCTCAGATGTGTATCTTGTCCAGTAGAGGCCAGGGGATTTTGATTTTACAAGTGGGAAATCTGCTGAGGTTTTGTTCTGAAGGAGCTATATAGGTGGGGAACCTGTTTTGGGGGCCAGATGGGGCTCAGCATTTCGGATAGCACCTGTAAAGTTTGGAGTAAAATCCAGAATGGATTCACTGCTCCTGTGACATCAGCGTTGTCAGCGTTTACTTGTCTGCAAAAAACAATGAGACGAGATAGGCAATGAGCAGAAATAAAGAGAAATAAGGAGAAACAGGACAGCCTCTGTGTTAGAAAAAAACAGTTACAGGACCATTTTGGACACATTTGTTTTCCCTTAATCTCCAGACTCAGTACCGTTTTTATTAGATGTTAGGTAGTACACTAAAGAAAGAAAGTCAGGTGAGACCAAACTGAGTAGTATTTGCTCAGATAATGCTGGATAACTCATTGGCGGAGCCAGAGGTTGAAAGTTCAATTCCCCACCAAACTGAATAGTATTTGCTCAGATAATGCTGGATAGCTCATTGGTTTAAATATCTGGCTGCGGAGCCAGAGTTCAATTCCCCACTGTGCCTCCTTGACAGGGATTGGACTTGTTGATCCATAGGGTCCCTTTCAGCCCTGCAGTTCTAAGATGATCTGGTGTGGGGAGCAAAAGGAACCCACAAATGCCATGTCTCTCCCCATGTGGCTGGTGGCATTTCTCATATAAGTTGCTGAAATGACCTTACAAGCATCAGAGTGCTTAGAATTGCCTGTTTTGGATGCTTTTGAAAGCTTGAATGGCTTATTTGGTTTTGAAATATGATGTTTGCAATTTGTAACTGCTGAGGATGGTAGCCATTTTGTGGATCCTCTGGTGGATGTTCTGTTGGGGAATATATTATGATTCACGAAGGCTTTCCCGGCTGGGATCTAATGGTTGTTGTGGGTTTTTCGGGCTCTTTGGCCGTATTCTGAAGGTTGTTCTTCCTAATGTTTCGCCAGTCTCTGTGGCCGGCATCTTCAGAGGACAGCACTCAGACTCTTCAGAGTCTCTGAAGATGCCAGCCAGACGTTAGGAAGAACATGGCCAAAGAGCCTGAAAAACCCAGAACAACCAATATATTATGACATCAGATGTGACAGATAAAACATCTGTGAAGATGAAAAAACAAATCTCAAAATGGCAAGAACTAAATGTTTACTTTTGCATAGAGGGCAAGTTAAAGGACACACAACTATTTCCCCCATCAATGTCCTGCCACTTTGTATTACCTGCCATTTTTTAATGTCCATCTCACTCTGCCTGCTGATAGGACTGGCCTTGCTAATCACTCATGTCCTGCAATGATTTCTGTTATATGCAAATCTTTTCCACATGGTAGATTAGCCTTCCCTAATCCTTGTCTTTTCCATACATGTTGGACAAAGGATTTAAATCAGGTGACCTCTCACTTTCAGCAGCAAATGAAATGGGGGGAAATCTTATTTTATCCTCTCAGGAAGATTTTTCAGTGCAATCCTCCCCCGGTCCCCAAGAAATTTCACAGGAAATTTGCAGGATTTTTCAGATATTTTGCGGTCAATTTTTCCCCCCTGGAAGGAATTCCAAATTTCACAGAATTTTTACAGTTTCTATGCAAAATATCATCCTTCCTGCTCAGGATTCATGAGCAAGGGCATTAAGTTGCATGGAATGTAAATGTTTCCTGCGCAAGGCAACACGTGAAAACCAAAAAAAACAATACAAACAAAATGAGAAATAGTAGGTCTGAGATCTCATTTCTTCCAAGAAGCCAGGAAATCATGCTGGTGGAGAGAGCCTTGGCGTAGTGAGACTAGGAGAATAACACAGAATGAGGATGTTTTCAAGTGCTCACCACATCCTTATTTTGAACGATAATCCTGTAATCCCCATTATGAGTCTGCACTTATGAAATCTATATTAACTTGACATCTGCCAGGCTCAAGAGTGTAGCTTATTTAAATGGATCGCTTAGATTCAGTTCTTTTCTCTCTCTTTACAATTTACTTTGTTTTTGGAATATTGCTTCTGCACTTTGTGAACATATTTGATCTGAAGAATGAATTATAAAGTTACTGATAAATGAATAAAGGCCGATACTGTCATTCACGTCAACCGCCTGCAGAATAGTCTCTTCTGCACACCACTCCTCTTTCAACAATGTCGGCCAAAAGGGGACTCCATTAACCCCTTGCGAAAGCACAGTACCCCCTTCTCATTTGCAGCTTGTGTAAATGCAATCTGGAAATTGCTGGGATAAATGCAGAGCCCTAACATCCCACTTTTGTGAACAGAATGGTGGCAAAATATTTGCCCATTGTCGCCAATATTATTAAAGAGGAAGGTTTCTGCTACTGCTGCAGCTGTTCCATCATGGTGATCCTGTTCCTCCATCCTTGTTGTGTTCTTATTCATCCCTTTACAAGCCTCCAAATAATTGTGAAAAACACAAGTGCTGCTGGCTCAGCCCAATTTGCAAATTACATTGAGCGGTGAGGGCGCTCCCACCTTCTGAATACTTATGAATTGGATTCTGCTCCCTTGGGGACTGGGTTAAAAATATCCTTTCCCTAAACAGGACACACATACTTAATAATTACTAAAAAGCTCAGGTACACGGTAACAGAATTTAATTTGTGTCTAGATGTCAACCTCAGCAGTTCTGAAGTATGTCAAAATGCAACCCATTATGTCAGTGTTCTCTTCCCCCCACCATGTTCTTGATTCCTAATTTTAATCACAAATTATGTCTGGCTGTCAACAGATGCTGAATGCTATTGGCATCCAAACCAGTAATTTAATTTAATTTAATTATTTATTTACTGTCTGTCTTTCAGGGAGTATATCATTCAGAAGCAGCTTACAGTTATTATTATTAGTATTTATAGTGACCTGGTTAATATATTTGACACATGCATGTAACATCAAATATATTAACCAGATCACTATAAATAATTTCCACGTTTTTAAAAGTTGTTGGAATCCTTCTCATGGGGCACATGGCCCTCTGTAGGAAGTAGGAAGTCCCTTTGGTGTCTCCTTCAGTTGTTTTGTTTTCTGCAACCCTCTCATTGCTTGCCATCCATCCATCCATCCATCCATCTCTCATTGACATCCATCCATCCATCCATCGAGTTTATATACCACCCCATTATTGCAAGCACTACTTTAATTCAGTGAGATGTATGCTGCAATTCTACGCACACTGATGTGGTATCAATTCCCATGGAACACAAAGGGTTTACCTTCTAAGTAAACATGCAAAGGCTTCGGCAGTTAGGGTTACTTCTCATGGTATGGCTGCCACATGTTGCTTACTGAAATGTCCTCTTCCATGTAACAGCAGCAGTTCTATATGATCAGTGATTAATTTGTGCTGGATCACCTCACATACCTGGAACAGAGAACCCACACCCTGCAGGTTAGATGTAGCCTATATGAAACCACTGGACAAACCTTTTATTTTCTTACCACTGATCACTGATCAGGTATAAGAGTCGGAAACCCTGAAAGCTCTTCCATAGAATTGAGTCCAACCCCTATGTTGAGAGTATACCTGCTATACTTTGAATGTGTTTACATAAAACATGTACTAGCAGAAACGTTTAAAGCTGATTCAAGAAGGAATGTGGCTCCCTGGTGAGAACTGGTGGAAACCTAACAGAATTCAGTAAACATGTAAGCTGATTCAAGAAGGAATGTGACTCCCTGGTGAGAATTGGTGGAAACCTAACAGAATTCAGTATTCTTCCTTTAACTCTGGATGCAAAACTTAAGACAGGCCAAACATAGTTTAGAAAAATACTCTGTATTTACATATGTAACCTAAACAACTTATCTTCAGCATAACAGCTTAACATATACAATATAACATGATAACAAGCTGATTCAAGAAGGAATGTGACTCCCTGGTGAGAATTGGTGGAAACCTAACAGAATTCAGTATTCTTCCTTTAACTCTGGATGCAAAACTTAAGACAGGCCAAACATAGTTTAGAAAAATACTCTGTATTTACATATGTAACCTAAACAACTTATCTTCAGCATAACAGCTTAACATATACAATATAACATGATAACACAACAGCATACAATAACTCATTACTCACAACAACATAACCGCTCTTATACCCGAGCTACCTGACTGCTCCTGAACCAGAGCAGTAAAGTAATGCTCTCCTTAGAGCTTCCTTTAGACAGAGAAAAGGCCTCTGTAATCAGCAACATCTGCCCGAGGCAACTCAAGCCTCAAACTCTGCCTGTTAAACAGCAACAGATGTATGCTAGCTCTTTACATACAGTCTTTCTTACTTATTTTACTTACATGAGTATATTTCATATGTTCAAGACTTGCAATATAGTGACCTGCTCCATTACAAATAACTTGACTTCCTATTGGATAATTTATCTCTGCACCAATACTGGAAAATGGCTATAGCTTTCTTTTAGAGAATGTTTCTCAGGTTCAGTCTCAGGCAGATCCGGGTAGGGCTAGGCCCTGCTTGGCATCCCAGAAAGCTGCTGCCAGTCAGAGTGTACAATATTGGGCTAGATGATCTGACTCAGTGTAAGAAGGCTTCCTAATCCTCCCATGCACTAGAGATAGGTAGTTGTAATGGGGAGAACTATATAATTCTGATTCTTTATTATAACACAGAGAACAAGTTTCTAGTTTACTCCTTTTATCTCCTTTCCTTTCCTATCACTGCTACTTTACTGTCTGCTTTCTGGGTAAGGTTAGCAAAGTATAGAGGATGGTTAATTAAGTTTAACTGTGTGACAGCTGAAAAATGGGAATGTAATTACTCATTTAATTATTTTACCACTCACTGCTTAAAGTGTGCATATCATTGCTCTTTCTATAAGGACACTCAACCTGATGTGCTTGCATGAAATTATACTCTGAGATTCCCTCCCAGGTCAAGGGACTCTGTAGCAAGATAATCCCTGAGGGCATAAGTAGTGTTTCATCAACTCCTCCTAGTTTTTATTGTCCACCATCTTGGTAGAGGGATATTATCCAGAGAGAAACTTTCCCCTTTTTCCTATTAATTAGTAGTTGTACATTATGAAAACATTATCAGGTGGGTATACAAGTGGCAGCTACATTTGTCCCCCAAAATGTACTGGTTATATTATTTACTTTAACAAGTAAATAACCTAGAAGGTTATAACAAGTAAATAACCACAGGGTATACCAAGAAAACATTCACTTTAGCTTGTGCATAAGAGTGCTGGTTGAAGGTGACTTAATGCCCTGGATTGTCAAAATCTTTGGGGGTTTAGCAAACTCTCATCACAATAGTCGACTTCTTCACACTTAATAGTCCCGAGTGCTACTCTGAAATGTTGCTTTTGGGGGGACTACAACTCCCAATGGTTAGGTTGCCTGGGGACATTTGGGGAGCTACAAACCCCAAAATAATTTTTTCCAGACTTCGGACCTGATTAATGTGAGGCCATAGTATTGAGAGTTAAACTCCACCTGACGTTAGGAGCTCAACTGAGTGCTTATTCCCAGCTAGACTACATTTACTGAATGAAAGGGCCTTCTTAACCTCTGTAAACTCTACTCATCCAGTGAAACCACAGTAACTGGGACTAATAAATGGGTTTTACTGCTGGTTTTAAACTACAAAGTCCTAAATGGCTTGGGTCCAGGCTATCTCAAGGACCACATCTTCCTTCATGAGCCTGCCGGTTTCTGAGAGCCACTTTGGACATGTATAAAAAGAGGTGGTCTTCTTCTTCATCATTCTGCCTTAGCCGGCATGGGATAAAACTTATCGTTACCAGGTATGCCAAAGCTAGGCTCACTGTAAGGCAAGATGACACGGGCAACTCGTACAGCTGTTGACAAAAGACAAGGAACGGTGGTGTGCAGTGTCTACCTTCTTCTTTGCTGCTTGGCCTGTCTTACTGCCCATGAGAGCAATGGGAAATGTTGCCTCTTTGCCAGTGATTAAGTAAGAGCGCTGCTCTGGTCTGGTGCATGGAATAAAAGAGGAACAGCTTGTTCTTTGCTTCAGGCAGCAAAAATCCTTGGTCTAGCTCTGTTAAAACCTCTGTTATATAAAAAGGTAGAATATCAACAAACCAAGGTTCTGCCCAAGACAAGAGCTTCCCATGTATGCTGCATTTTCCATCTATTCAAATCAGTGCTGTCACTGATCTACTGGTGGAAAACACATTTTTCATCCAGAAGGTTTCATGTTCCATCTCTGATGTCCCAAGCAGAACTGGAAAAAGTTCCTCCTAAAACCTTGGAGAGCTGCTGCCTGACAGAGCTGCCAATATTGGCTAACTCAATGAGCTGACCCAGAATGAAGCTGCTCATTATGATCTGGGGGACTATGAATCCTCCAGGACTGTAAGTTTCTGCTTATTTGAAAGAAGTCTCTCCTTCCAGGAGCAAGGAAGAAATGATATTGTGAAGACAAGAATTGTTTACACCTTAAATTGTTTCCATAGTAGCAGAAAGAGTAGAGACAATACTGTGGATGTAGGAAAATTATTTGCAATTATGGTTGGAGTTTGTGCACTTTCCCTGGGGTGAAAGTCCTTCTTTTAAAGATTACAGGATGACATTATTAGATTATTTCCCTAGAGCTACTCTAAGCCTTGTGTAATATTCCATTCTGTTTCATGTGGTTACAGCTTTTTGCACTATTTAGAAACCCACTCCATTTGAACTCTTTGGGGAGAGAACAGGATAAACATTATATTGAACCATTTACTCTTCAAGAGAGCATGGGATGATGATTAGATGACACATACTTACACCTCTCACTGAAAATCTATGTGGTTGGAAGCACCAAGTTCTTGGGCTTTGTTTTAATTTGGGGTGTAGGTTTCTTCATTAAACAGTACCCCCAAATCAGATGTTTAAGTCTGCAAAGCAAGAAACATCACTTGTGTGACTAAAGGCTTACCAATAATAAAGGATGCAGTAGATAATCAATGCAAAGAAAGCAGGATGAGCCCCAAAATCCAGCAGGTCACTGCCCCTTAGGTTGACAGGTGGCCAAGCAATATCATTCTCTTCCTCACAGCAGAAGGCTAGAGGCTGATAAGAAAGTAATGGATTTTAATAATCCAGTCTTCCTATGTGTACTATCACCCATCCGAAAGGAATAGAAATCAACAGCAGGCAACTCCTTTTATCAAAGCAGGGAGAGGGTACGTGCTAAGTAAACCAAACTCTTTCTCTGATGGTAGCTACATATCATCAACTTGATAATATAGCTGGCCAAATAGCTCAGTCGGTGGGCAGCAAAGTAGGAGGCCAGGAATTTGACTCCTTACTGTGTTGTGGAGGAGATGAGCCAGCCTGTGCAGCCTTAGGCAAGCTGCACAGTCTGGGAGTGCCCCTCGGTGAGAGGAATGGAAAACATATCTTAGCACTCTATAATAGAAAACCCAGGAAAGAGTCACTGTAGGTCAGATTTGACTTAATGATGCATAATTAATTAAAAGCAAACTACTCTCAGAACAATGCTGTAGTTTTCTAAGGTACTTTCATCCAGTCAAGATGTCTATGTATGTGTGTTTGTGTGTTTAGTCGTTTAGTCATGTCCGACTCTTCGTGACCCCATGGACCAGAGCACGCCAGGCCCTCCTGTCTTCTACTGCCTCCCGGAGTTGTGTCAGGTTCATGTTGGTTGTCTATGTATAGTATAGCACGCATAGTGTCTTTCTATCATCATGATTCTCCATAAGCTGGTGATATGGCATATATAAAAGATTATATAAATTGATTCTAATTGCCAGTTTCCCATTCACTACTGTTTCTCTACTCTGCTCTCTAAAAAGCCTATCGCAGAGGCCAGAAATGTGTTTGCTTCACAAATGGATACCCACTTTAGGTGGCTGAAGTCTGCATTAAAGCTGCTTTCATCCAGGAATCTCAATGACCAACATCTGTCAGTGTCACTTTCTTCTGCCATCAAACTATTTAAATTTCAAATCCTTTCCTCCTCAGATATGAAGATATCGATTCGGGCAAATATTTATTAAAATGATGACAATTATTGTTCATCTCCTATCCAAGAACCAGAGGTTCACAGACATTGAACGCAGGCAGAGTTGAGGGCCATTGTTGCTGTTCTGCAACTTCAGTTCCCAGAATTATTTGCTTCACAAGTCAAGTTAACTGCCCCAGACCATGTTGAGATGGCATTACAACATTTTATTGCTGATCCTACTAACTCTTTCTTAACTACCTTTGCTACCCCCATTGGCTTAGCCGCCTCAAGCTCTTAGCATAAGGAATCAGGTTTAGTGCATACAAATTGAAAAGGAGAACAAGCATGGAATATTTTCCCCTTATAACTGAAAAACGGTTTTGTTGTTGCTATTGTTGTGAGTGAAACTATAGTCAAACCTTTGGTGAGGATGGTTAAAAGAAGAAGAAGATAAAAGAGCTCCAGGGATGGATTTGGTATGACAGCCAGCAGCTGGCCACCCTTGATATCTGGTGGTGTCTTTAGCTATAGATCTTATGGACATTACATCTAGCCAAATGTTCAGCTCTACTTGTTTCTGGCAGCATCTCCATTCTTCTTAGTTTTATTTAGCCATTTTTGGTACCATATGGCCTGATAAACAGTTCTAGAAAATGAAAAGGCTTGCACACTTTTCTGATATGTCGGTCCTTAAAAAAAAGTTAGTGCATGTTATTTGGGTTTACTCATTGACTCAAATGGGCACCACTGTTTTAAAGTCTCCTTCCCGTTACTGCTGAATTCATATACAGTAATGGATTCAGGGCTTCTAAAAAAATAATTATAACTCTCCGTTGAAACAGAACACTACTAATTTACCTTTGTTTAAAACCACACATGGAAGAGAGGTGCCCATTGTAGTTTTCTAGAACTCTTCATCTTGTTACTCTGGCAACAAGCGATAATTTAAATAATTTCTACAACAGCTATGCTACATTGAAAAAGCTCCATGTGTCTTTGGCATACCCCCACAGTAAATCCTTTTCAAGACACCAGACACAAAATTCCTGTCATTGAGGGAAGGGAGATCTCAAGATAAAGGAAGGGTCTTATTGAAAGGAATTCCAGATTGACACCAGCAGGTGAAAGGGAGTGAGCAACCATGTTTTCTGTCCTTCCCTTTTGCTCTCTCCAGTGCCCTTACGTAGTTTTCCCTCCTAGTAGGAAGAGAACAATGAAATACTTTCCCATATATCAACAGAGTCTTTGCTTCCCCTCTTAATCCTTTAGCAAATGTAGTAGGTGGAACGATGAGACAAAGTCTTTCTGAAAGCTTTGAACAGGAGTGGCAGAATTTGTCCACCTGCCTCTGCCCAAAGTTCAATCAGGACAAGGCTCCACCACACCTGCAAATCTTCTAATAGGCACGGAGAACCAGAGGAGGAGGTGAGCTGTCCCTCCCTCTCTCAGGGGGCCCAAATAATTATGGAAACAGTAGACAAATTCTCTGTTGTTTCTGCTTTTATCTTTGAAACTGGAGTGATACAGAACTTTCTCAGCAAACAACCCTCACACCAGGTGAGCTGGTGAGTGGCTCTGTTGTGGCCAGGGAATCCCCAGAGCTTAGAAATGCCACTTTTTTGGAGTACAGCTCCCAAAATCCTATACTGTGTGGGGAATTCTGGGATGTGTGATCCAAAAAATAACTTTACCAACCATTGGGACCTGGGAATATCTCCTGGGTGGTGGGTAGAAGTCACAATGGCTGAAATCCAGGAGGCACAGCTATACAGCAATAAATGATCATGATATCATCAACCCACAATGCTACTATTTAATTTAATTGAATTGAAGACAGGATGGTTTCAATTAAATCAAAGAGCACTGTTGTGGTCTGATGACATTGTCCCCATTTATGTCCACACAGTTATGGAACAGGATTTCAGCCAATATGTTACTGTTGTGGTCTGATGACATCGTCCCCATTTATGTCCACACTATGGAACAGGATTTCAGCCAATATGTGCTTTATTTGTGGGGACTGTCAGGATGAAAGCCTTCTTCCATCCCATGTTCCACACAGTGGAAATTTTGCTAATCTGTATGTTAAAAAGCCAGGCATGAGAGAGCCGGAGGAACATCCTGAAGTTGTGTGTGATAACAAGATGCAACCCATGTTCCACACAATGGAATTTTTTCCTAATTTGTATGTTAAAAAGCTAGGCATGAGAGAACCGGAGGAACTTCCTGAAGTTGTGTGTGATAACAAGATGCAAGATACAGGATGAGGTTGGACTCGGTTGTAAATGGTTCTGCTTGGGTTCTAGAGGTCAGAGTAAACAGGCTATTTTAAAGTAAAGATCTCCAATCTGAGACATGGCTAACATTTCATGACTGACCCACCTCATTCTAGGGGTGCATCTTCTGCTTCAGAGTCTTAGAAAAAGGAGTGGGCTCCTTGCACTTGCACAGATGTACACCATTGTAATGTCAGCCATGCAACTTTGATCCCACTCATAAATCTCTCTGTTTAGTAAACCCAAAGTCATACAAAGTTTTATTTGGAAAGATGCAGGAAGAGGACACAGTTACAATCTCAATTTATCTCTGGCTGTCAGATGTTTTACTGCAAATGCCTTTACTATCCAGGTGTTCTTTCCTTTCATAAGTTTTCATTGGAGAGACATCAGTTATGCCGTGCTGTCAGAATTCATGAAGCCATTGTAGTTCTGTGGGAAAGCGGCCCTATTTGTATGGAGATAGGAGACAGATGAAATACAGCAAAATCTTTTTACTGTACTGGCATAAACATTGGGATGCTATGCCCTCCAGAAGTTCAAATCCTGGGTGAGGCATGTTAAAGGACCGTAATGATTTAGCTGAGAGCATGCTTGGAGCTGTTTCTAATAACTACAGACATTTCTAACCTAAGGGTATGAGAGAACCATAGACCTTGATAATCAAACTGCACAATGTCAAATTCTCTTATTCTGGGCACTGCTTCTTTCTCCTTGGGCCCTATAATCATAAAAAATAATGTTGTGGAAGCCATCTGTCTCTTGGGAGACTGGAAGCTTCAATGATCGCTGAGAGCTTTGTAACTGCTGAAATTGTGTGGATCAGAGATACAGCAAAAGAAAGCCAGAAGGGGTGGGAGATTGGACTAGACCTTGGTAGCTTCAAGTTCTGATCCCTATGGGAGCTGTTAAATTCACTGAGTGTTCTTTATCCAGTCATTGATTTTCTCAGCCTCATCCAGAGCTTGGAAGTGACTAGTTACTATAAACACTATAAAGTTACCTTTTCTAATTACATGTGAAAGTTACTTTAAAGGGCATTTAAAAGCATTTTCAGAGACATTTTTGCAGGCCTTTTTTCAAGTCTTATGCCATTTTGGTAGCCACCTCAAGTGACAAGAGATGTAATGTTTTGTTGCATCTTTTGCATTTTGTAAATATTTTTTTAGCTAGCTGGATAGCTTAGTGAGTTGGAGTGTTTGGCTGTGCAGCCAGTATTTGGGGGTTCAATTCTTCCCTGTGCCTTGTAGGAAAAGACCCAGCCTATGGGCAAGCTGCACAGTCTCAGGGTACACCAGAAGAAGAGACTGGTAAACCACTTCGTAGAAATTCTGGAAAGGGTTGGTGTCAGCTGGAATCAACAGCATGGTGCACACTTAATTTGAAATATTGTCTAGATCCAACACGAGCATTCACCATAAGAGGACACCATAGAATATATCCTTGTAGTTTTCTTGTGTGTGGATAAGGACAATGTCAATGCAATCAGTAATGTGCAAAACAACAAACGACTTTTGGAACTTGAGCAATGGCAATGGAAAGGCAGTTGCCCCAAAGTAATGAGAAATGTAACAAATTCCTTTTAGAAAATAAAGGCCTGACGTGCAGTGGGCCAGAGAGAACTTTGATTTACAGTGTTTTGAACTCAATGGAAGAATTTTGGGCTACGGAAGCTCTTGACTAAACTAACCAACCAACAAATTAATAAATAAAATCTATGCCACCAGGTTCAATGGTCAATATTTACCTTTGGCCCATGCTGTTGCTTATATAGAGAGATCAGAAAATTCCCGTTGTCCTTGCCTTCTTTTGGAAAGGCTGGTAGCCAGTAAAAATGCCACTGGCATGACCAGTAACACCTCATGTTATCGCGTCACCGGTGCATGACACACAAGTTTTGCCAGCTATTACCTATAACTGGAGTCTAGAAGAGTGCCTTTTTTGGACTATAATCTCGCAGCCAGCATGATCTACCAGCACGACTATTTTTCCATACCTCCGGTCTGTTTCCCCAGCCTGGCAGTATTTTAAAAAGTAAACACTGGCAAGCTTACTAGCAACTTCCAAGTTGTTAATAGGAAAAGGAACAGATGCCAAACTAAGGGCTACCTAAATAGTCTGGGAAGTAGAGAGGACAGAATACTTCAATTTTTTATTTTGCTCGGTTTCTCATTTTCCAGCCTTGTATTTGTTTTATCTCATTTCTTTGACAGTTTGTGACTTTTCCCCGAATATCCCCATGAACACCCACACACATTTCCATAAGAATTGCCCCATGGGCATGGAGTTTTATATGAAAAATTTCCTAACAGGTCCATTTTTACAAACCCCACCACAACCAGTTGAATACATTCTGGATGTTACTGTCACTGTTCCATGGATTTTAGTGTGCACTGCTCCCTAGTGTCTCAGTTTTCATATGCATTCCCTTGATTAGAGAACTCCCACAACGTTTTTTTTAAAAAAGAGTGAAATTTGAAGTGTAATGGTTTTCATTCATGCACCACTGAGGTAAATCATCATCATCATCTTAGAGCTGGAGAGCTAGAAGGGACCCTATGGATCATCTGGCCCAGCCCCTGTTGAGGAGACACAGTAGGGAATCAAACTCCAGTCTAGACCTAAATCACTAGGCAAACTACAGCCCTCCAGATGTTGGTAGAGGACAACTCCCAACATTCCTTGCTTTGGGGCTGATGAGAGTTGTGGTTGAACAATATTTGTAGGCCCTCATTTTGCCCAACCCTGGCATATTGGTTCAAGAAGTAACCAACAAACTAGTTAAGGTGATATTACAGTGTAGACCAAATCAATTACTCATGTGGCCCTCATAACCTCTACTCTGAGGCACTATTTCATATTTTTCTAACAGGGTTAGAATGGGAAAGACGTTGATGTATGGCTGACTTAGCACATGCATGCCCTTTCTATTGCGTGTTTTTGGGGCAGCCAAAATATTTTTTACATATTAATCTAGGTACCATGAAAATGAATGGATAGATCAATGACTGAGCTGAAGGAACTCAAAGGTAATGGTTCTGAATTGTGTTGGGACTTGGTAAGTGATAGTGGGACCTCGACTTACAAACGTCCCTACATACAAACTTTTTGATTTACGAACGGATCCGTTCGCAAAAATTGGCATTGACTTGCAAACGGAGTCTCGACCTACGAACAAGGTCAAGGCTCCATTCGCAAGTTAATGCCATTTTTTTGCGAATGGAGCAATCGGCGCCTACGGAGGTCTCAAAGGGCTTTCCCCCCGACATCGTAGGAAGCCGTTTGAGACCTCCGCAGGCAAAAAGGCAGGGAGAAAGGGCTGGAAATTCAAATTTCCTGCCCCTTCCCCCTGCCTTTTTGCTTTTGGAGTATCAAACAGCTTCCTCCGATGTTGGGGGGAAAGCCCTTTGAGACCTCTGAAGGCACTATTGCAGTGGCAGGGATCCCCAGGGAGGTCTCCCATGGTGGCGGGCAAGCCCTGGGAGACTTCCCTGGGGGTCCCCACTGCCGTGATTGGCACCTTCAGGCTTTCCCGGGGAGTAAACTGGGCCTACCGGGGGAAGCCTGAGGGCGCCAATCGCAGTGGCGGGGGACCCCTGGGAGGTCTCCGATGGTGGCGGAGAAGCCCTGGGAGTTTCCCCTCTGCCATTGAAGACCTCCCGGTGGTCCCCCACCACCCCGATTGGAGGCAGCGGTCAGCTGGCCAGGTGCTTGGCCGCTCATCCCCGGGTATGGCGGAGGCAGAGGAGCGCCGGGAGGCTTCGGACTGGTAAGTCCTTTTAAAAAACTTGTTCTGGGTGGGTTTTGGAGGGTGGGTTTGGACTGGGGGGGGGGTTATGTTTCTGTGGGTTTGTGTGTGTGTGTGTGTGTGTGTGTGTGTGTGTTTTGCTCTGTTTATTTTTATTTTTATTTTGGTAATTTTTTAAAATGCTGGAATAGATTAATTCTGTTCCCATGCATTTCAATGGAAAATGGTACTTCAGCTTACGAACTTTTCGACGTACGAATGCCATTCCAAAACGGATTAAGTTCGTAAGTCGAGGTACCACTATGTACATTTTTCATTGGTTAACTATGTGGTTAAGAAGATTAGGTTCCCATTTAATTACTGTTACTCTGTTGAGACTTTCTCGTTAGAAATTTCCTGAGAACCAGGTGCAAGCCAAGATCTTTAAACATTTAATTTTTAAAGCCCTTGTTATTCACCTTCTTCCCTATTTTCCCTCACCTGTTCATTATGTTTTGGAACATTTCAGAAGATCATTTCTGATCCAATACCTTTCCCAGCATTGGTGCAGCCCACCTCATTTATCTTCCTCTTTCTCCTCCCTGTCCCCCAAATGACTTCTCTAGAATAAATCATGCTCATTGGTGCTCATGATGTTTTTTAGCTAAGGATAATGGCTTGTGGTGCTCTGCTGGAACTATAGTAAAATCATGGCGTAATTGGCAGCGGAAGTTTCTGAATTGCTCTCAGCTGTCTTGTCGAGTGATGAGCATCAGGGGCGGAGCTGTGGATTGAACTATTGCTATTCATTGGGGCCTCTTAAAACACTCTTCACAGCAAAAGGAAAAGGAAGCTGGTCAGGAGTTAAGTTTTTATAACAGCAGAATGGGACTCTTCAAGTGCCCATGTCTTTTCCTGCATGTGCTAATAAGAACAAGTCTGTGTTATGATTTAAGATGCGTGAGTTTACAAGAATACTCTTAGGCATCCCAGTGCTTTAGAACTCAAGCTCAAATAGAATTTGTCAAATGTGGAGTAGGGCAAGCTTGTGTTAGACTAAACACGCTGTCTTTTCCCCTTAAGAGAAATTTGTTTGTAGTAATGTGTTAATTGTATGGTCTATTTTGCTCTGTAAAAACAGTGCCAAAAGAGAGGTGGGGTGGGGGTTGCTCACCTGTATCTACTGTCTCTTGTTTATACAGCTTGTATGGATTAGGGCTTGCAATACCTGACTGCAGAACCAAAGCTGGAAGTTGAAATTCCCACTGTTCCTACTGGGAGAGTAGCTAGTCCAAATCACTTAGAGTGTATGTGGCTGATGGGGTTATGTATGTGCCCTACCACAAGTGCATCCTTGGGAGTGTTGTACTGTTCCAGAGTACCTTCAGAAGGAGTGACTAGTAAACTGCTTCCAAGTACTTCATAGCCAGAAAACCCCTTTGATAATCAGTCAGGATAAGTCAGGAGTGACTGGTAAACTGCTTCCAAGTACTGCTTCCCTTTGATAATCAGTCAGGATAAGTCAGAATCACCTTGATAGCACATGGTTAATTAGTATTATCTGCAATGTACAGTTACTATGTCCTGTGCATAACCTGGTGCCCTCCTGATGTTTTCGATTCCAGCTGTTGTCAGTCAGGATGTTAGGAATTCTGGAAGCACCCAGTTGGGGCAGGATCATATGCAGCATTTCTGAGAAGCAAATATTTGAACTGTTTCTCAGTCTTCCACCTTCCCTGCACCTTTATGAAGCCATGTTTTGTTTTACCTACAACTGGCAGGGGTTCTTCCTCCAGACAAGCATCCATGTCCAGTAAAGATGCTCCTTTTCTTAAGAATGAAATTATCCAGAGAAAACAGTACATAATTGTCTGTGACTTGAATTTAAGCAGCCTTTCCATTCAAATGGTAAAATAGAAGCTGCACAAATCGTTGTGGAGATGGATAACAAAGAACCGGATTCCTACCGAAGAAGAAATCCAAGAGAAGTCAGCTTGGCACCATCTGCACAAGACCACTGAGAACCATTCTGTCTAGGCTGTGCCGTGTTTTGTCAAGTGAAGGAGAGAGAGCCAATTCAGTAGCTGCTAAGGAAAAAAAAGTTGCGATATAAATGGAATAAATATTAGATGCTGACACAGCCAGTGTTTTTAGTCTGCCTGTAATTGCTTTGCTGGCAAGAAATAAACATGATGGAAGAAATCATAAAACTAGAATATAATCCAGTAGTATCAGATCAAGCTGGGAGAGGGCAGAAGTGGTAACCATTATTTCATCATAACAAATAAAATAGGATTTCTGTCAGCTTGGAAAAAGTCTCTCTCTCTCTCTCTCTGTCTGTCTCTGTGTGTGTGTGTGTGTGAGAGAGAGAGAGAGAGAGAAACATCAAGAGTGTGAGAGAGAACACCAGATTTTAGAATGACTGTAAATCACAGCTTCCACCCAACATTATATCCAAACACAATTCAAGAGCTCAGCAGTTGGCCTTTCTTGGAGTGTTTAAATCACAAAGTCCTTATCAGCACCAAGAAGAGGAACTTTCTCTTTCAGTAATTTGTCTTCCCCTTTCATTTGAATCCAGCAAATTCCATTAGCCAATATATTGCTCTCTCCCAAAGTTACCAGGGTTGTTGGCTGTGTGTGCAGACCCTCAGAATGCAGGTTGTGAAAGCTATGGCACATACCCAACTTGAAGCTGAGAGCCAGGATTCACCTGAAGATAATATGAGGGGCAGGAGAATCACATTTACTTATAGACACAATCCAGCTGGCTGAAAGCAAGCAGCAAAAGCCCATAAAGCTGATCACAGTGCTATGAGAGATGTCACCTATGAATCTCATTTTTTCCTCAGGGAGCTCTAAGGAATGCACATGATTTTTCCGCCTCTCACTTTATCTTCACAAAAATGTTATAAAAGAGTTTAGGCTGAGAGTCAAACAACACATTACAGAATATATAACATTAGAAGAAGGAATTTCTTTGTGTCTGGTTGTTGCAGCAGGAGATATTCACATCTCCTTTAATTTACAAAGGAGTTACAAACTGCTTCATATACCAGAACTGGCTCAACTGCATATCATCATCATAGTTTGGCCCACAGAGAGAGTACGTTGGCCTAGAGCAAAGTTTGGAAAAGTTACTTGCTGGAACTGCAAGTCTGAGAATCCTTCACCCAGCATGGCCATCATTGGGAAAAGATCTAGAAAGCATTTGAATAAGGAAGTTCAACCATATACTATACATTCTTCCTACACAGCTTTTTTAGCTCCTTATTCTTATTACTCTGAAAAAATCAATATACTCTGTAAACATGACCTAGAGAATGTGATATCCTAAGGGCAATAGAGAGCCACTGTGGTGAAGTGGATAGGATAACATATCAGGACTCAGGAGACCTGTGTTCAAATCCTTGCTTATCCTTGAAAACTCATGGATGGGAGGAAGCTGGTACAAGTAAAATCTCTCTTTAAATATCTTGCATACATTGTCAACCATTTTAAGATCGGTAATAAGTCAGATGAGACTTGATGGCATTTAACAGAACACATGACAAGGCCAACAGAACTGCATCTCAAGAAAGTCAATGCTAAAGATAGAATAAGGATACATTTCTAAGCTCTTTTAATTGCATGTTCTTACAGATCTATCTATTTAAATATGTCTTTGTTATCTGTGTTGGGTTGGGCTCTCAGGATAATCAGATCAATTCTATCACTGTTTGTATTCCTTTATGTGGGGATGATCTGAACAGCTCACAAGGAACCTTGAAAATCATTCTCAGAAGTTTAATAGTGTTATTGTTGAGCTTAAGATGGTAAAGTAGTAATAGGGTCAAACTGTATGGCAGAAAAAGCACCCCCGCCCCTTTGGGGATTAGCTTTTGGGGACTGAGCATGAAAGCACATCAGCACTATGACTTATTCATATGTTGTCACATTTAGAACAAGGTCATATCACCATCAGCGGCTGAGTGAAAGACAACACGTCTGTCCTGATCTGATCTTCATTGGCAGACCCATGCGCAGCTCAGGAAGAGCAGCCTTTTGTGTAGATCTGTCTTCTAGTCCTCTCAGAGCCACTAAATGCAGTAGGTGACTTTGGGCAAGTCACACTTCTTCAACCTGACTTGTTTCATGGGGACTGTTGTGTAGGTAATTTGGGGGAAGAGGAGAGCCATATATGTTGACATGAGCTCACTATAGAAACAGAGACAGGTATAATTGATAAATAACTATTTGTTTATATTTGTGCAGATGCCAGACTTGCTATTCTTTTTGCTTAAAAAAATGGAAACTGAGGTTGCTACTAAACTCTAGTACTTGGAGATTAGGACTATGACTGGAAAGATCCCCATTCTAATTCCCATTCAACCAAAAGCTTCAAAGGGTGTCTTGTGGTTGTCTTTCAGCATAACTTCCTCATGGATGTAATTGATCTGAAGACAACACAGAAGAAGGGAGCCCAGTTACTCTGCCTTGAGCCCACATAAGACATAAATCTATGAGGGATTTGTACTGGTTCCACCGTTTGCTTCGTGCCTGAGTAACACACACAAGTCTGGTGTCTGATCTGCCCCTTCCTTGTCCATGTCTTCTCTGGTATCTGTGCACCTCTAGAGCTCCATAAAAAACAACAACTCACAAATGGGGAAATGAACACAGTTATGATGGGTGGTGTGGTGAAAAAGAGTTACACAATGCCATCAGAATTACTTTTTGTAGAATTATTTGCCTACCTCTAGACCAGAGATGACCTCCCTGAGAAACCCTCCCCAGATCCTCACAATGTGCAAAACATGTCTTTGGCTTCACTGAGGCAGCCACCCTCTTTCTACTTTGATGACAGTTCATCATCCTATTCCTAAGGTACTGTTACTTTAGAGTTCTTTTATCCCACTTCTAATCAGATTCTATCTTTTATTTAACATTTTAACCCCATAATTGCTAGAATTAACACAAGGGATTGGGTGGGTAGGATGCTTGTTTTGTCATGTGATTGCCATGGAGATGCACAAATAACCCTGAGTCATTGTTTGCATTTGGCTAAATATGGTAACATCTCTAATAAATACAAGAACAACAAACAGACCACATGGCACAGTTTATAATGGTCTGATCTGGTCTAGTCTAGTCTGGTAGTATGCTTCCCCATAACAGAGTCTTCTGATCAGCTTAACAACCAACAAACCAATAATTTACTTTACAGTGAATGATCAGATGTAACAATCTGTACTTTTTGTGTTTCATTAAATATACTAAAATATACCAACTTTCTGCACTTTATGTATTTTGTGGTGTCTTCGTTTTATTTGATTTAGCATTTCTCTGTTGGTTACCTTCCTGAGCCAAAAAAATCTTTATAATTCTGCACTAAATTTAAATTTGAGGCACTTCTGTCCTTTGCATAGTTGTCCAGAAGTCTATAGCTCTCTGCTATACAGAACAACTTAGACACACTGAACTATAAAATGCACATTCTCACAGTTAGTTATATGTTTTTACTGATGCTATTGACCATTTTTATTCACTTATTTTGGTGCATGGCAATGTTTTCACTATTCACTCAACCACATCTCGGGATGATTATATTTTCTAACATGCTCCATGTTTTCATTTCGATTTGCAGCAATTCTCCCATGTGGCAGTTCTTAACTACCCTGTCTCAGGACTGCATCACCAGAAACTCCCCCCAAACCTTCCTTCTTTATTCCCAGACCCCCCCCCCGGGGGGGGGGTTCCACAATGCTTACAAATCAAGAGAATAACCAAGTGGATCAGCACTGGACATTAGGACCTCACCCCCTCAGTTACCTTGCAGACCATGCTTGTAAGTTTTATAAAGTTTATTAAAAGAATACATATAAAGGAAAATAAGAGAACAAAAGGGATTATTGCCAATGAGAGAAAACGCTTCCAAAATCATAAAAAACATCAATACAGATTTCAACATGGGAAAGGAAGCCCCAAAGCTTATACCTTACCTTAACTTAGAGATAGGAACATGGTGGCGATGCGGGTTAAACCGCTGAAGCCTCTGGGCTGCAGGGTCAGAAGACCTTCAGTCGTAAGATCGAATCCATGCGATGGAGTGAGCCCCCGTCGCTTCTCCCAGCTCCTGCCAACCTAGCGGTTCGAAAGCACGCAAAATGCAAAAATGTGAGTAGATAAATAGGTACCACCTCTGTGGGAAGGTAAACGGCATTCCGCGTCTAGTCACACTGGCCGCGTGACCATGTAGGATTGGAAAAAGAGATGAGCGCCGCCGCCTAGAGTCGGACAGTGACCACGTAGGATTGGAAAAAGAGATAAGCACTGCCACCTAGAGTCGGACACGACTGGACAAATTGTCAAGGGGAACCTTTACCTTTAACTTAGAGATAAGTTTAATCCTTGCCTAAACTGTCTGGACTCCCCACTCTTAGCTTCTGAGAGAGAGGTCCCAAAACACCCGTGAGGTGAGATGCTAGAGACAGACAGAGAACCATGCTGTCTCCCAACTTCTATATAGAATGGACCATCTAGTTAATTACTCGTACTCCCTTTTGAGCTCAGCAGGGAAAGAAGCAAAGCTAGCAAAAGGCAGGATCCTCCTCAGATATGCCCAAAGGGCAAGCAGGTTGCCAGGACAGGCATTTTAGTTTCCACAGGACAATCCTATAGACTTCAAAAGTGCTTTGAAATCACAAGCTACAGAACGAACAGGAATGACAGGTCTCCTGAATTAGAGTCCCCACTGCTGCCTTTGTTCATCTGTTTCAAGAGAATTATAATTCATTTCTCTCTCTTTAAAATTACTTCAAATAATATCTGAGAGTGTAATTTACCCCTTGAAAAGATCTTTAAATGTATTTCTTTGGCTGATTGCTTTTCCTGATCACTGTGAATTCATTTTCAGACTCTATATATTATTTACATCACTGGATTTATCAAAGAACTGCTGGGTATCTCAGTGGTTTAGGTATCTGGCTGCAGAGCCAGAGGCTGGGAGTTCAATTCCCTACTGTGCCTCACTGACAGGGGTTGGACTCAATGATCCATAAGGTCCCTTTATTATTAAACCATTGTATGGTAATGCTGTATTGTCAGCATATCAGATGCTGTTGATATCCTGTCTATTGTCAAACATTTGTTGTTTAGTCATTAAGTCATGTCCGACTCTTCATGACTCCATGGACCAGAGCATGCCAGGCCCTCCTGTCTTCCACTGCCTCCTGGAGTTTGATCAAATTCATGTTGGTAGCTTCGATGACACCAACTTCCATACAATTGCACTCATTTTACACGCGAGCAAGGTTATGCTCAAAATCCTCCAAGGTAGGCTTCAGCAGTATGTGGACCGAGAACTCCCAGAAGTACAGGCTGGATTTCAAAGGGGCAGAGGAACTGGAGACCAAATTGCTAACATGCGCTGGATTATGGAGAAAGACAGAGAGTTCCAGAAAAACATCTACTTCTGCTTCATCGACTACGCAAAAGTCTATGACTGTGTAGACCAGAACAAGCAATACCAAGTTCTTAAAGAAATGAGAGTGCCTGACCACCTTATCTATCTCCTGAGAAATCTATATGTGGGACAGGAAGCAAGAGTTAGAAATGTATATGGAACAACTGATTGGTTCAAAATT